AAATTGATGCAAAGGCCAGTCCAAGTTTGCAACCAAAGATAACAACACTCTTATAGTGTCTAACTTTGCAACTGGAGAGAATGTTTCCTGATAATCCACCCCATAAGTCTGTGTATACCCTTTAGCTACCAGTCGCGCCTTATACCTCTCAATAGTGCCGTCTGCCTTATGTTTGACTGTGAACACCCACCTACATCCAACCGGCTTTTTATCCTTTGGTAGTTCCACAAGTTTCCAAGTTCGATTTTTCTCCAACGCCTCCATCTCTACCTCCATCACTTGAAGCCATTTCGGATCCTTCATGGCTTCTTCAACCCTGTTTGGAACTTGAACTGAGGAAATCGTAAACACGAAGGCTTGTAGTGGTGTGGACAGCCTCTTGGCAGACACATAGTCTGCAATAGGGTATCGAGACCGGCGGTCCTCTACATCTGGAGAATATCGATTCGGTGGTTTACCCCTATTATGCCTATCGGGTAGCTTATAACCAGTAAGCACATCAGTATCTTCAAAAGAATCAAGTACAGTAGAAGTACTTACCTCAGGTACATTCTCAGGAGCTTGGAGTGGTACTAAAGAGGGCGAAGAGGGCGAAGACAAGGAGGGCTGTTGCAGTTGTGCATCTGTTGACAATTGCAGCTGTGCATCTATCTCAGTAGCCTCAGAATCACGTGCAACCTCAAGATCACGTGCGCACCCATCCGTCGCTCCTGCAATTCCCACCTCCCACCAATGTCTGGTTCTACAACTAGTCTCCCCCTGAACAGGACATTGGGGGGAAGGAAAATAGGACTCCGTCTCAATAAATGTTACATCCATGGTGACATACATGCGCTTCTCGGCAAGATCATAACACCGATACCCTTTCTGAGAAGGGCCATAACCAAGAAACACACATTTGACTGCACAAGGGTCAAGTTTGGTCCGCTGATTTTTGTGAAGATGGACATAAGCGACACACCCAAACACCTTAGGAGGCAATGTAAGAACCGAAGGAAGAAACACATGGGCAGCAAGTGCTTGCATTGGCGTGCGATAGCTCAGAATGCGGGAAGGCATGCGATTCAACAAATAAGCAGCTGTGACTACGGCAGAATCCCAAAAACGATGGGGAACATGGCTACCCTCCAAGAGTGCTCGAGTGGTTTCAAGAAGATGGCGATTCTTGCGCTCAGCAACACCATTCTGCTGAGGAGTCTGAGGGCAAGAAGTTTCATGTATCAAACCATGTTCTTGAAAATAAGCTGCAAGAGGTTTACTTAAGTATTCGCCACCATTATCAGACCTGAGAACCTGAAGTTTGGCCCCAAACTGAGTTTGAATCATACGGTGGAAAGTCCGAAAGATAGCTTCAGCCTCATTCTTATGTTTCATCAAATATAGCCAAGTCATATGTGTGCAATCATCAACAAAGATGATAAACCATCTAAACCCAGATACAGTAGTAATAGGAGACGCACCCCATACATCAGAATGAATTAAGGAAAAAGGAGCAGAACTTATATTCAAACTGGGAGGAAAACAAGTACGATGGCTCTTTGCCAAAATACATGTATCACACTGAAAACTAGAGTTCGATAGACCATGAAATAACTTGGGAAACAAATGCCGTAAATACCCAAAAGATGGGTGACCTAACCGACGGTGCCATAACCAAAGTTCCTTCTCTTGAGCTAACTGTCCACGAGAATGATAGGTCCGTCCAGAAGTAATTTCATCCACGAAATACAGCCCCTCCCTCTTAGTACCACGCCCAATAATCTCCTTCGTGAGAATGTCCTGAAACAGGCAAAAATCAGGGTACATAAGCACAACACAGTTCAACTCACTAGTAAGCTGTCCAACTGATAACAGACGATTAGACAATGAAGGAACAAGCAAGGTATGAGATAGAGAGAGAGAAGGCGTGACAGACACACGCCCAGCAGCCGTCACAGGGAAGCTATATCCATTAGCATTGTAAATATGATCTCGACGTGGTGTAGTAGATGTAAGAAGATCACCAGATTCCGGAGTCATATGATCTGTAGCGCCATAATCAATTATCCACCCATGATGACCATCACCATGTCCATTAGCAAAGACAAACCCACAATTACCTTCAAGAGATTCGGCATTAGCAGATTCAGTCTCCATGGGAATTAATGACAAGCCGCTAGTCACTAAGGAAGCTTGCCCTCCATTCCGCCCTTTTTGGGAGCCCTGTTTCTTCTTCTTGGTCTGAAAATCATCCCACCAATCCGGATAACCATGCAGTTTAAAACAAGATGCTGCTATATGTTTAGGATTCCCACAGTGAGAGCATCCTGCGGATTGAATTGGCATACCAGGTTTAGGGCGAGGTCCCTGGGCAGAAAGCACTAAGCGATCACCCTTGCCCATTTGTGACACCATGGCGGAACCGGAGGTGACCTCGACGGGAGTGGAGAGCATGACAGATTGGCACATATCCTCTCGCGACTCGAGCATAAGCTTGCTCAATAGTGGGAAACGGATCCATCTTCATAACATCAGCACGAACATTATCCAGGCGGTCATCGAGACCATCCAAAAAAGTATAAACTCGATCTTCATGAACAATGGCATTGTACCTCAGAATATCGGCCGGACATTGCATAGGATTAGGACGGCGGAAATCAATCTCACGCCAGAGCCCTTGAAGATCATTGTAATATTTCTCGATGGGTCCACCGCCTTGCTTCAATCGAGAAACCTGCCTCTTAATATCATAGATTTGGGAGGTGTCAGATCCATCAAAAAAGGTCGTTGCCACAGCATCCCATACGGCTCTGGCAGTAGGAAACCGAATAAAGTTTGGTATCAAGGCTGGGTCTATAGAATTGATAAGCCAACCTTTCACCGTAGAATCATCGGTCTTCCATTGTCTAAAAGATGGATCTGTAGGAGGGGGCTCAAGAGAATCACCATTCAAATAACCCAGTTTGTCTTTGCCCGAGACATACATCTCAACAACCTGGGACCATACGCCATAATTTTTGCCATCAAGCTTGACAGCAATCGGTGCAACAGGAGGTTCAACGCGCGGCGGCGCGGCCTGTTGGGTCAAGAGCCGCTTCATCGCAGCGGTCGTCGCCAGCGGCAAGATGGCGCAGCGCAGGCGCTAGCATCTCGCTTGGTCGGCTTGTAACACTCGACTGTTCGCCGGCCATGAGATCGATTCGCAACCGAATTGCGATGAAGAAGATCGGGAAAGACGCACGTCGGACGGCGCAATAGAGAAAGAGCGGGACCGCCGTAGTCGATGATTGACGTACAGTACCCCAAGGATCAAACCCTAGGGCTTTGATACCATGTAGGAAAAGACTCTCCTTTTTCTATTCAATAATCTGTTTTCTGTACATTTACAATGTATATATAGGACATATGTCAACCCTAATTAGGAGATATACAATAGGAAGGATTCTATACTAGGAAGAAATCTATACAATAAAAAAGCCTAACAAATAGGCTAAAATAGCTCACGACCACAGCGGAGAGTGAGCCTAGTCGGAGCGGGGCCAGGCGTCGGGTTCGGTCGGAACGGAGTCCGTCGCTGGCCGGACTCAGGCCAAAGCGATGCCAGAGTAGATGCGGCCAGGTCGAGACAAATGTCTCGGTCATTTCCCTTGAGGCCGCGGAGCAGAAAGCCAGAGCGTCGCAAGGGCTTCCGTCGGGTCAGCTGAGGCGGGGCTGGGGTCAACTTGCAAATTTCATTACCACTAATGATGGTATTTCAACTTTAATGCGGCTCTTCAGTAAATTGCCTGGGGGTCGCACGAACCCCAAGCAACCCCCACACCGGCATCCGTCCAACTCCTTCGAGGCTTCGAGCCAACGACGGAGTCTGTACAGCTCCAGACATTGAAGATGAACAGTCATGAGGGCAAGATTGGAATAATTAAATATAAGTGGGAGCAATTTTTACAAGAAAAGAAAATTCACTAACCTTGGAATCTACCGTCCGGAAATGTTGAAAGCCAAGACATGTGCTTTACCAATCTTGGCATTTCCCCAAACGACCTAACTTTTTTTTAAAGAGACTTTAGATATCAAAGTCTCTTGAAAAAGCTAAATCAAACGTGCTCATAAAGGACTAGAGCTTTTCACTTTTCTCTTTGCTTAATTATTCATCATGAATCTTCTCTATTATAGTGCATAGTTGTTGCTTACATTTAAGCAATTAATATTTTACGTCCTTTTTTTTTAATTGCTTGTTCTTATAAGTGTAATCAGAGACGAATGGAGCAAGTGTGTTTGGTGGCCAAACATACTGGCCGATATTAAATAAATAGTAACAATATTTAACGAACTTATTTTTTTCTAAAAAGGAAAAGCGAATATTAACAATATTTAAATATGATATTAGCTCTTAATTCTTTAACACTGAGACATAAATTAGAATTCGTTTCTTAAAGATCCCTTTATGCACCTGATCCTCTCTGCTCGTTGTGTTGCCGTGTCCCGGAGTCTCCTGAACACCTCCTCCTCCTATGTGAATGGACAAAACAAGTGTGGTTAGACTCTCGGCTGAATTTTGACATCTCACCTACCAACATCTCAAGAATTGATAAATGGCTCACGGATAACTTGTCATATAGTGACAATTCTTTCTCGCCGGATAACCCTCCCTCACCATCGAGTCTAGCAAGTAGTAGATCGGTATGACGAAAGTTTGAGGTGTGCCCAAAGCTTTCTACATTGTCAGTTTGAATGTCTAATGCGTTAAAGATGCGCTAAAGACCATGAGAAAAGTTTAAAACATGTGCACAACACATTAAGTTAATTTGACATGGAATTAGAGAATGTGAATTCGGAAGTTTGTCAAGAGATTTCAAAACCATATGCTTTTTTCGCTCGATCATCAGCAAACTAAGCGAGGACTAATTAACACATGCCAATCCATGATTTCTAGCCTCCACACAATGAATTTAGAACCAAAAGGTATATAAGGGAGCACATGCTTGCACGCACCAATTAGGCGCATACACACACATAGAGACATGTATTTGCACATATACGTGGTAAAAGGTAATAAGAAGAAACAAATTATGCCGAACTGAAGACGAAATAAATGGCCAAAAAAAAACTATTTTTAGGTTTGCAATGATTAATGGAGAACAATATCTCTTCATCACTGTGTCAAGAGATCCGAGAACAGAAAGGGGAGAACATGTAATTCAAAGCTTTTTGCAAATCCGGATATTATGAATTGCTTGTTTCCCCTCATCCCTATGGGCGCTCCACCGTGCATGATGCAATGAATGGATAGAACCTTCATCCAATCCCATGAGTTTCGTAACTGTTGAAAGTCTAATCCCAGTTAGATTTTTTTTCTTTGGGGATCAGATAATCTCAATTAGTTTTCATGTCAATCTAATTAAGCTTTCAAAACAAAAAAACCTTGGATGTTGTTAATGTTCAGGAAAAGAAATTCACAGCCAAGCAAGAAAGTGATCTGGGGCACATAATTCAGAAAAGAAAGACACAAAAGGAGTTTGGTTCAAGCCATTCCGACCATCTCATCTTGTCCGTTTCGAGGTCAAGGTAGAGACAATGTTGTTTGAGTTTGAGTTCAACATTTGTTTTCCACGATTCAACACTAGTCGAGCTTTAACCCTGCATCGCCCTCTGCAGTCGGCAATTCATTTGTGATAAGAGTAAGCTCACATCGAAGCCTTCCCTCCAGCTTTTCAAGCAACCCTGCGCCATCCCATTGTTTAGCAGAAAGGAAATTGTGATTAGTGTTAGCATCAAAGAAATCGGGATGCTATAATGCTATCTAATGTAGAGGAGAAAGGAAATTGTGATAATTTATTAGTAGATGACATGCAACATTTGATTTCACCAAGACTGAATGAAACTTAGTTTGTGTACGTAATCTGTGTTATGCCATTTTCTAGCCTGTCATTCACCAGTATCCTTTTCTTATATTAGCTCACAGCTTCTAGCCTTTCTTTCCCTTTTGTAGGGTTAATCATTCGAATCAATTACTTCACTATTTTAAAACGCCATTCTTTCTTTTTTGGGTAAAGAAAAGGATGTCCATGCCTTCTTATTGATCACCTATCAATATAGATGGACTAAACCAAGACATTAATTAGTCTCCAAAAAATGAGATTTTTTTTTGTTTATTGTCATGTGAGGATTACTCCATCTACTTGAAAAATTACTAAGTTTTATCATAAAACTAAGTTACCAAGCAGCCCTATTGAGAAAAATAATCCTACCAAATTAAGGAAATTGCTATCAAACTTTTTAATTTTGTCATAACTATCAAACTAGTTGACACCTAAATTTTTGCAATTCATTTAGGTAATTATTGCATAAAATAATAGGGACCGACCCAGATCCTAGCAAAAAATAATTTTTATGAAATTACATATAGTCATTAGGAGCATGTTTCATTAATAAATAGCACTGAAATTGGACCAGCTGTGGATAAGGTTCTAAGCTTAATTAAATTATATAGACTGAGCTCATGAACAGGCAAAATTCGGCCAAGCACATGCACATTAGGGCTGGCCGATATTTGCTGAAAGAAGGGAGGCCTCATTGAACTTTAATTGGATTAATTTTAGCCCATTAGAGTTTAATTAGTTAAGGCCTTAGATTAAGCCCGTAAAGTTGAGATTAAATCTAAGGTTAATACTATATAAAGTATAAACACATTCACAATTCACGGCCGAAAGAGAGAAAAATAGAGAGAAGGTCGCTACTCACGAAAAGGGAGAAAGACAGAGAGAAAAGGTCTGCACGTCCGGACATTGAGTAGAAGGAGAAAAGCCAAAGGGAAAAGGACAAAAAAGTGGGGTGCTCTTCTTTCTCTCTAAGGGAAACGGACGAAGCCTCGCTGCCCACCGACGCCAGCTACCTCGCCACTCCAGCCCTCGTCCGGTTGCTGAGCACTGCCGCGCACAGTCCTTCCCGGCCGGTCTACGTAACTCCCCTGCCTGGCCGAGTCCCTGCTGCACTACATCAGTGCCTTCGCTCCTGCTCGTCATCGTCCTGGCAGCCGCATCAACGACAGCTCTTGCCCAGCAAACTGCTCGGTCCAGTGAATTCCAGACGTTCTCAACGAGAACCAAAGCCGTCAAAGCTCCAGATCAGCAAGCTTCAAGCGTTCTCTGCACCCGCCTTGACGATCCAGTGGCTCCAGTTGCGCTGGAGGACACCAGCAGCCGCTTTGGTGTGTCACAGTCCCTTGGTGAGTTTCCTCGACGATTCCAGGTTGCTGTAACGCTTTTTGCAGCAAGTTTCCAGCAACCTCGGATTTGTCTCTCCCCCGTGACTGACCGGAACACTCCGCCTGCATCACCGAGCCACATTGTCACAGCACTTTGCTGCACAGTCACCGAGTATACAACAGTGATTGGTGAGTCCTTCGCGAGTCCCTCGAGCATCTCCGGCGCGATCCACCTATATATTTGTCCTTTGCAGGTTTTAAGGTGAATTCCAGGCGATTATCAATCCAATGCTACGTCCTCAACACCCTCGGTACCCTTGCAAAAATTTCAAAGAAGTCGACGCCTCTCCCGACGCACAGAGCAACTCTGTCGCCGTTTCCAGAAAGCTATCTTGCCACGTCCGGAGTTTTCCCTCACCTTTGGGTAGCTGAGAGACCCCATCGTCGATCCTTGTTTGTTCGTTGTCTACCACCGCGAGCACCAGCAGTACGAAATAATCCGATCAGAATTCATTTTGATATTATCACAATCTGACCTGAATATTTTTTAGATTTTAGGCATTATCTAAGTAGAGTTTTATTAGGAAAAATCACAATAATCACTAATTTGATCCGCAAGACCTCAGATCATTTTTTGATTATTTTGATTTTTCTTTGTTGTCGGTGATGCTTTATAAAGATTTTGCTAATTGTTAATTTAAGTCGTGAGACGATGGATTATTTAATCAATTATCTTAATCTTTATTTCAAATCTTGACGAATATCTTGAGGTGGGTTGGATATGTTTCTTATCTTGAATTTAGATAGTTTTCCTACTTTGAATAGATAGATTTATTTTCTAGATTAGATTGCATGCTAAGATAATAACTATCTAATCAGGATAAGTTTCCAAAAAATAGGATTTAAATTAAATTATTTCCTGGTTTGAGTAGGATAACTTTTCACGTTGGGTAGTTAGTTTTAATTATTTATTTATTAGGAATTTTAATAGAAAATCATAAAAATAAACATGTGCTTGTCATATAGAATTAGTTGCATAAATTCCATGTCATGTACCACATCATCATGATGTATCATTGCCACGTCATCATGCCATGTCATCACATATGCAACGTCATTGCCATGTCATCTATGCCGCGTCGTTTATGTCATGTCATCAATTTCATGTCAATTAGTAATTGTATGTTTAGGGTAATTTAATTTAGAATGCATGTCATATTAGAATAGTTTTATTTTAATTGCATGTCATGTTAAATTAGGTCATGTAGCCATGATTTAAAATTGTATCGCATGCATTGCAAATAGTTTTGTTTTCATAAATAAAAGAAAAAGAAAACAAAAGAGAGTTAATTAGAGTTGTTAATTAGTTCATAAAAATCATGTTAGGTTAGGAATTGCATATTTTTAATATACACTTTGCAGATATTTGGGAAATTAGTTAATATGCTTGGCTTGCATTGAGGTATTTAATTTCTTTCCCTATTCTAGCAATTTATTTATTGTTTTCAATTATTTAGAGTTATTTTCATTGATTGCACACTCACATGATCACCCTTCGCATTTTATTGGATAAGTTAAAATCAATTCAAGTCACATGCAAAACATTTTTTTCAAAAAAAAGAGAAAAGGTATCCGAAAGGGCATTGGAGAAATCTAGTATAATCAAGTCCTCGTGTTAATAATCTCTAGTTCGTACAAGTAAAATACTCTCCCACGCTTTACTTAGGATTCTAATCGACCCACCTAAAAATTGATTAGTGGCGATTCCGAAATGAAACTGATTTGCACGTAAAGAACTTGAACAAAAGTTGTGAATTGGTAAGGATTTGGAAGAGCCCGAGCTAGATATAAGATTAGTAATCCATTGGCCAAACCTTAGCTGATTCACGATAAGCTCACGACAAAAAAACTATCTGGTGTTTTTCGACGTGGAAGTGGCGATGACCCTTTAGAAAAATGTGAGTCTATTTTTATACATGCACTCTCAAAGAAAAAGGAAAAAATTCACTTTTTTTTATGAACCAAACGCAATTATTAAGAATGCATATGCATACAGATTAGTGGTTGTTGTTCATAGAAATTATTTTTTTTTCCCATAAAAGCCCATTATCTCTAAATTTTATGAGTAGAATTGACACTTTAAGTAGATAAATTTTTAGTTTGACTATGAAATACCCTCAATAACTTTAAGAGTAAGATGAAGCGCAAGCTAAACTTTAGAAATTAGTATCAATTGTATTTTGTTTTCTTATATCCAAATCAATGACCAAAAAAGTAGAGAAACAAAAAAGAGCTGTGGGGCCTTAACTACGGCAGAATGCCATGTGCAATTCCAAATAAGAAAACAAGCGGATCAAGTAAAGCATAATCGTTTTATTTATGTAAAAGTTTATGAGCCTAATAATACATTTAAATTGAATAATTATAACCAGTATAGGTTAAACATCTCATTCGGGATCATTAATTGCATCACGCTCGAAAGTGAATCTTATGAAGAAACGAAAAGGACCTCATAAAATGTTTAATTTCTTTTGTGATACCAATACAAAAAAATAATTTACAAGTTGAAATAATATAGGATGATCACATAGATATATGACTTTCATGTTCCGTTTAGCTGGTAGCTTTTCGAATAGGTTGTAGTTTTTATTTCTTGGAGCTAATAATAGCTTTTCGAATAGATTGCAATTAATTATTCCCTAAGCAAGAGCTCTGTTCGGTCCCTTCTCTCTATATCTATGCTTTTTTCCGTTCTCATGATCGAGCAAATTATTTTTGCAATTGCTGATTCTGTTGTGTGGACAAAGGGGATTTGGGTTTGGTGCTTAGCTTTTATTTTTCTGATTTATTTCTTTATTTCTTTTTTAATTGGAGACAAATAAGAGTATACACCCCAATTTCTATGTACTTAGATGGTATTCAACTAGGAGCAATGTAGAAGAATCCGATATGCACATTGACAAAGCTCTAAGTTCCGATCATGTAGTCCTCTGGTTGGTCGTAAACTTTGCCTTCCATATTGATCCTTGTGTTTACTGTTTTGTTCCGTCCATTTTAGAAAGTGCCTTTCTCAGTGTTTGCTTTGGCATTTTAGTTAAACAAGGTTGGAACGTCATTGTCAAAGAATACATCCGTTGACGGTTTGATTATGAATTTGTAGACTTCAAATTCTCTAGTAATGGTGTGAAGTGCATTTCGATGTCATAAAAAATGGTGGATATTTCATGTGAATTGTCTTTTAAAGTTTTTCAATGTGGTGCAACCCCTGTCCAAGTCGGTAGACAAAGCTCCTTTATGAGCTACATCATGTATTATCAAGCAAAATGGTTGTATGCTCTGCACAGATGAATTTATATCTCTATTGTTTATTGTTTGTTAGGTGTTTAGATCACAAAATGATGATGGTAGTATATATTTACACTAGTGACTTCTGAGTGGCAATTTATAACGCTGATACATTTCATTTAACGGTTGATTAATATCATTGAAAGTCTAATGTATGTTCTTGTCAATCCTTCAATTAATCATGTCCAGAAGAATGCTCTCCTTGTTACTATCTACGAAAGTGGTAAGTGACTTTTTATGTCCTTTTCTGAAATTTTGTTGATTACCTTGTTATCAACATAGGAATTCTATTCTCATTTCTCACTGAGGTAATGTTTGCTATTCCCCATTCCAACCATGCATGTGTTCTATTGCATTGGCTAGATGAAATGTTGACCCTCTTCTTAGTATTTAGTGTTTAAGGAGCAGGTAGTCAAGACTCCAAGATATTATGCTCTTTCATTAGAAATATAAACATTTTAGCTCTAGGAAAGTTTTGATGCCGTGGCCTATGAACCATATTTTGGAACATTTACTTCTGCCTTTTCGCGATAGACTATCTTATAACATTTGTTGCTACTTCCAATATTTACTGACATTTTTAGTTGATTGATTTCTCGCAACTAACAATACTGAAATGATTTTTCCTTTATATTGGACGGTTAGCCACATAGCCATAGAGTTGCATCCCATAGATGGGATTCCACGGCTTGTATTCATCCATGCTAGCTACACCATTGAGGAATGGTCTAGTATGTTCGCATTCATGTGAGTTTGTCTACTTATTCTCTTCTAGGATAATTGATTCTCTCTTTCTTTCTTTGAAGACGGTAGAAGCATAAAGGATGTCGGTTGATCATGTTGCTCATCTGAAGTCATCTAATGTGGGTAAAATGGCAACTCAGCGTAAGGCCTCGCGACCTCCATACTCTCTAGGGAGTCCCTATCCCTAATCAAACATCATTTGTTCACTTCATACACCGACCCCTCTCTCTTTTAAAAATAGTAAGAAAAAATTATAAGGCGAAGGAGGAAGAGAAGGCCTTTCTACGGATAAGAGAACAAATATGCATAATAAATAATTATGATCGGTATTGGTTATACATCTCATTTAGGATTGTTAATTGCATCACGCTTGAAAGTGTGTTTTTATGAAGAAATGGAAAGTAACTCAGAGTTTGTTTAATTTCTTTTGTGATACCACCAATGCATGCATAGTCATCTCATAAAGGTTGTGTTGTAAATACAAAAAAACAAAAATTATAAGCGGAAATAAAATAGGATGATCATATAGATTATGACTTCCGTGCTATGTTTAGGTAGTAGCTTTTCAAATAAATTGTAATTGTTATTTCTTGTAGCTAATAATAGATTTCCAATCGAAAATCAAGGTTGGTATTTACTTTATTGTGCACTTCGTATGATGTTTAAAGGTTTGCGAATTCTAATTGTTATAACAAGATATGCATTCTTCTTCTTTTTTTCATATTTCTCAATGGTCAAAATAGACATTTAATTTCTTGAAAATGGACGATACCGTTATAAAGTGTGCTAGTGTATGCATCATTAATAAAAATATATCATATATGTAATTTATTCAAGTGTTCCGGTGGATGTGATGAACAAAAATAGTTATAGGAATACACGTGGTAGATAAAGGTGTCTTTTCCTATTTATAATAGTACAAATGAAAAATCTCAACATGTCCTAAGATTTAGATCAATCGTATATGTAGATGGGATAGCTTCATATAGAATTACATGTTCCCCTAGAAAAAGCAAACTGAACAAGATGTTGCTCGAAAGTGTAAGTCGATATGAAGCTATCCCCATCTATGTATACGGTTGATCTAAATCTCGAGAACTATTGAGATCCTTCATTTTTAGTACTATCAATTGAAAAAGAAACCTTTATCTTATGCATATATATATATATATATATATATATCTATAACCTATTTTTATGAATCACATCGGAACATCTTAATAAATTACATATATGATATATTTTTATTAATAATGCATACGTTAACCCGCTTAATAAAAGTATCATCAATTTTTGGGAAATCAAATGTCTCTTTTGACCATTATGAAATATGAAAGAAATATAATACATCCCTTGTTAGTTATTCAAATAACAAATAGAATTCACAAACCTTTAAACATCATAGTATGGGCACGGTAAAGTAATTGGAATACTATTATTAGCTCCAAGAAATAAAAATTACAATCTACAAGAAATATAATACATCCCTTGTTTGTTATTTAAATAACAAATAGAATTCACAAACCTTTAAACATTATAGGAAGGGCACAGTAAAGTAAATGGAACACTATTATTAGGTACAAGAAATAGAAATTATAATCTATTTGAGAAGCTATTGCCTAAATGGAGCACGGATGTCATTAATCTATGAGATGACTATGCATGCATTGGTGGTATCACAAAAGAAATTAAACATACTCTGAGGTCCATTCCATTTCTTCATAAAACCCAATTTCAAACATGATGCAATTAACAATCCTAAATGAGATGTCTAACCAATACCGATCGTACTTATTTATTATGCTTATTTGTACTTCTACCCCTAGAAAGGCCTTCTCTTCCTCCTCTGCCTTATGATTTTTGCTTTCTTTTTTTAAAAGGGAGAGGTGTAGTTGTATGCAGTGTGCAAATGATGTTCGATTAGGGACTGGGACTCCTAGAAAGTATGGAAGGT